ACATTGACTCATATAGATTATCTTTCATCTTACTCTATTCTCCAAACTCAAATACTAACATCTTATGGGTCATTTTGAAACCGATTTTCCATCGGATACTCTTTAACTACAAACACAATTCTAGCTTTCCTACCCACAAAGTAGGTCTATTAATAATACTACATATCCTAATGCACTTTTTGTGATCTCAGGGCAAACCCCATCAGCTCCTTACCTACTAATACCATAGTTTATTTCACTAGGGCTATTAGTGGTACATGAATCTCATTGAATCCACACGAGTATAATTGTCACACTAATACCACACGGTACCTTCCCAAGTATCCATAACCACACATATCTTAGTTGATTATGGATCACATCCTTGACTTGACTTAGTCTCACATGCACAAATATATCTCGATCAATTATGAGTTATTATCATGGCTTGATTAATCCTCATTAGATATATCCTAATCTCAACACACAACATTACCCTATTGTAGAATGTATGTGGAGAAAGTATGTGGACTAACTTTTCAACTCATTGGATGAAACTTTTTATCATTAGAAGCTTGAACAAGTCAAGAAAAAATAAAACATCCGATAAAGATAGATATTTAAACATTGTTAGCTCCACTAGCATGTGATGCATACTAGTTGCTACGAACACAAAAACATGATTGTTTTGATATTCAATTTAAAAAAAGATAGAAAATGTGAGTGATAAATCATTGATTTGATCACCATAAGTTACCTTAATAAGATCGAAAATAAATTTATATAACTTAAAACACCAAAAAAGTTCTCTTCACATAAAAATAAGTTTCATTCAAAATTCATATATATATATATATATATATATATATATATATATATATATATATATATTTATAGCCTAAATTACTATAAGAATTCAATAATAATTCTCACTAAGTGCTCAATTAATTTCCACTACACGTTCTTAAATATTCATCGACAATTAAAACTCATTATTCTTAAATTTCCACTAACAATCAATTCTCACTAATTTTATTTTTAATTTCTACTATAAGCATCATTATTTTCTATAACATGAATATGAATAATTATCTTTTCTTCACATTCCCTTAATGTTGATATTTTGGTTAACTTAATTCAAAATAAAAATTACAAATAAAAACTTAAAATTAATCCCTCTAAATAATATAAAAATAATTGACTAATAAATCTTAAACATCATAATATAAAATCCATCAGGTGATTTAGATTTTGACCGATTCACAAAACAATCCAGAAATAATTTAGGTAATATTTCAAAATTTATTATTTTACATTTAACAATTCATAATTATTTTTTTCCAAATTATAACTTTGACATAACTATTTTCTTCTTCTTTTTTCTAAGAACATTAAATAAACACAAAGTGTATTTAGTATTAAAAGTATAAGAAAAATAATTAACAAATCATAATCATATGATTATAATGTGTGTTTCGTTTTCCAATAATCACATATTCTTTTATTATTATGAAAGAATTTGTATAATGAAATAATTATTTCTTTAATTTTAAGTTGAAATAACACTAACTAAATGCACAAGGTTCAAGTAGGTGATTTATTAAGTAAGCATACATTATGACAATATATGTTTTTAGGATCATTTAAAAAAATTGAAAAAAAAAAGTGTTGTTGTAATAGTTCATTTGTAATTTGACCCCAAAAAAGTTTTCGACCCAAAACTTTAGAGTTCTTGGATGGTCAATGAATACTGAATGCAACCATGCAACAGATGCACTTTCATATATTGGGCCTTTTGACATTTCAAAAGGCCCATGGCCCGCAACTTAGTTTATACCTCACACATTACAATATTAATAACTCAAATAATTTACAAACCAAAAATAATACTAAAATTTATATTTTCAAACACTTGTGACTTGATTTTTTTTAATATATATATATGTATATATACAGTGACGGATCTTGATCATTGATCTTGGAGGGGTCAAATAATATATTATTAATAAATAATAAATAAATATAAAATGAAGTAAGAAGATGAAATGGTGAAATATTAAATGATCATTAAGTTTGAGGGGGACAAAATCATAAATTATATGAGAGTTACAAAACTGAGGAGGGACTGGGAGGATAAAATTGTAAATATACAAGTAAATATATTAAATGTTCATTAAGTTTGGGAGGGTCAAAATCATAAATTACATAAGAATTACAAAACTTTGGGGGGGTCACGACCCCTCTCAACTCCCAAGAAGATCCGTCACTGATAATATCCTACCAAACCCGAAAAATTATGTATCCTAGTCATTGTTCTTAATGGATTTCATTGTAGAATTGTCTTTACTTTAGTTAAGTCCACCGATACTCTTTCTTGGATGAAGTCGGCTTGCAAGAGCTTACTGATTTTCTGATCTGCAACTTGCCTTCTTTCATCTCCTAACTTACGTTTTCATTGAGCTATAAGCTTTGCTTTAGGAATAATTTATCATTTATGTGAGATTATGTTAAGGTCAATACCTGGCATATCGGTTGTGCACCATGCGAATAGGTTGACGTTTTTTAGTAAGATGTCTTAAATTTGCTTGCGAGTAGTCATCTTGGCCATGTTGGCGATGTGCGTGACTTAGGAGACATCCCTTCTTAGTTGGAAATCCGATATGTTTTCGTCGAAGGTAGGTTGTTTCCGTCAGCCTCTTTTGTGGATCGAAGTCGACCCTTTCTATGTTGTGCACTTGCGCATTGCTTCAACATTGTATTAAGTATGGATTGACCTTAAAGCTTTTTGAGTAGTACCTTCGAGCTTTCATTGGGTATGATCTTATTGTTATAGCCAAACTATTATCTGTTAAGGGGAAATTCATCAAGCTAGTTTAACGTGTTAGGATCGAGCGCTTACCACTAGGCCAAAAGCTATAGCCATTAGTCAAAGCGCAACTCTTTTTACTTTAACAGCCCAAGCGCCACGATTCAATTGTGACTCGGCCCACCTGACCTTCGTCACAGGACAATTGATGCTACCTGCAACAATCTCCCCCTCAGCAATTGTCCTACAAGGTATCCCACTCTTGGATTGTGACTTGGCCCACCCGGCCTCTGCCACGGGACAATTGTGCAACGTGCAACAATCTCCCCCTCAACAATTGCCCACCAGGAATCGAACTCGTGACCTTGGCTCGATACCATTGTTAGGATCGAGCGCTTACCACTAGGCCAAAAGCTATAGCCATTAGTCAGAGCGCAACTCTTTTTACTTTAACAGCCCAAGCGCCACGATTCAATTGTGACTCGGCCCACCTGACCTTCGTCACAGGACAATTGATGCTACCTGCAACATAACGTTCATCTTTCTATTATTAAGTTGTATGAGAGTTATAATTGTTGAGATACATGAACTGAATATCTCGACAATATCCGAATATACTAACATTATCAACGTGTTAAGACAGATAAATTATATTTACATCAACAAAAATAAAATGAAGAATAAATAAAAAAAATCTTAAAGATTGATCATGAGAACTATTAAATTTGCTTAGTGACCTAAGTGGTTTTGGTTAAAAGGAGGCAAGAAGAAAATTTGAATTTGAACTTAAAGTCTAAATGACTTGACTTATATATTACATTAAAGTATATATTTTAACATTTAATTGTAATAGTGAATGATGTTGTAACAACGGTTGTGCATAGTTCCACTTTTAACAAATATTTATATATTAAAATTATAATTAAAAATGTATAATTAAAAATTTATATATTTTTATGTTATATTATTAAAAAAATACAAGTATATTATAATATTATAATTTAAATTATAAATATTAATAAATTAAACTTAAATTATATGTTATAATTAGGTATTATATAAATATCATAATTTTTTTCAAGTTATCTAATAAAATATTAATTAATAAATAAAATAATAAAATGTATTCTTATAATAAAATATATTTTTTTAAATTTTATAAAAAACATATTAATAAATTGATTCATTTATTCATCAACCCGTTTTATAATTAAATAGGCTAAGGTTTATAGCGTGTTTTGATGAAGATATACTTCACCTAATTTTTTTTAAATAAAACAAATAGGATCACTTATTATATCGTCACTATAGTAATCTGATAAAAAAAATTGCATATAAATTAATATTTATCATCTAAGATTACTATAATATTTTTATTTCCAGTTTATTTAAAAAATTATCTACAATTGAAATTGAAAAAAAAATATTCAAAATCTGTCAAAAGAAATTTAAATAAAATTAAAAAATTATCTGCATGCAAAATATTCATAACTAAAAGAATTAAATTTTTAGAATAACTAAAACAATTTATCTTTAATTGAATTAATTTTTTCACTAACGTTTCTATAAAATAATGATACCAGTTCACGTGATATATATTATAAAAATTTAAAATTAATGTTAATAAAGAATTAATTTAAAACTACCGTATACAAATCTATTATTCAATATTTAAAAGGCAAGGAAACTGTATACGATTTTGTTTTCTCTCACATAATAAAAGAAAATCAAATAACTCCACCATAATTTAAAAGAATATAATCCAACCTACTAGTTCTAATATTAATTTATATCGTATCATCAAAAACTAGATATATGTTATATTTAATAACATATAATAATAAAAATTGTGATAAGAAAAATATTTTTTAATCATATAATCTAAAAGGAAGATTATTTTTATGGAAATATAAATAGATATTATCTTTCAATTAAAATGATAAAAAAATATTAGATAGCTTTGTAATCGCTAAAAATCAATTAATTTGATCATACCTTAAAAATGAAAGTAGGGATTAAAGATATATTAAGATTTAGAGATAAAGAATCTATAGATATTATGATTCACATTTATAAAGAATAAAGATAAAAAAAAACTGTTATTAGAAGGTATTTACTAATCAGAAATATCACATTGGCCTATTTTTTTCTTTCTCCTCTCTGTCATCCTTCATTCATACTTTTTTTTTCTCATTCAGCAAAAACTTCTTACGAAATGGCACTATCCTACGATGAACTGTTTTGTATATTCTCTCGATTACCTGCAAAAGCTATTTACAAATTCAGTTGCGTTGACAAGTTTTTTTCAAAACTTCCAAAAGATGCCTATTTTGCATTGAGACAAGCACAAAATGCATTGCGAAGGAATGATACATGTTTTTTCATTCAACCTGATATTCCTATTAAGACCTTGGTATATTGCAGTCTGCAAGTTGAATTACACCAATTACCTGGCGAGGAACTATCATCTGGAGTCTCTAAAAATGTTTTGAGATATTTTTGTAATTCTTCTGTCAAGATCTTGGGTTCAAACAATGGTTTGCTTCTTTGTTGTGTTTCACATGAGGAGCAACTGAAGCTTTTCATTAGAAATCCAGCAACACAGTCTCACTTGCTAATTCCTACTCCTATGCATATGCAAAATCCCTGTGATATTTATGATCACAGGATTGGATTTCATTCTGACCTAATGGTACTTATATGGTGTATCTTTTTGTTGACGATGTACTTGATTGGTCTTCATATTTTGTTTGTATGGTATATCATTCCAACCAAGGAGTGTGGAAAACAAAGGAAGGGAAATTTTTCAGTGGCAGTAGGAGTCTGAGATTTGACATGCCTGTACATCATAGAGGAGCAGTTCACTTTATCTCAGATTGTTCTCCTTACTTAATAAAAAGTAGCCCTTATTTCATACCATACATTATGTCTTACAATTTTGATAATGGGACATCAAGAATGATGAGGGTACCTAAAGAAGCAAGAAAGGGCTCTCATGACCCCAGTTGTGACATGAGAATTTTCAAATGGGGCAATGTTAGTTACTCAAGTCAGGATGAGTCAATTTGTGTGGTGAGATTGAGAAAACAAGTGTTTACAGTGTGGGCTTTGAGACAACATGAATCAAGTTTGTGGAAGAAGGTTTTGAAAATAAGAATAAAGGCAATGGGGATAGAGGCCAAAGATCCTTCTCAAATAATAGTCAAAGATTTCAGTGTATTAAATGGTCATCTTCTAGTCTTTGCCACAAAAGACAAAATTTATGCCTATGGTTTAAATGATACAAGAATTCACAAAATTTGGGAACATCATTCTCAATTCAACCATTTACGATTCACTTCATACAAGGATACATTACGCAAGTGCGATCATGAAATTAAACATTTGTCTCTTTTTTCCAATATGTAATAGTTTTGTTTTATTTACTTATTTGAATTGTTTATTTTATTTTATTTTATTTTAAGATATTAAGTTTATTTGTATGTGTTTCACATATGTTACTTATTTGCTTTCTATACATAACTTTTTTTTATTTGTATGCGTTTCACAATCTTTACCATAAGTCGTAAGAACCGAGTTATAATTTTTTACCTTATCATCTGAAATAATTTAATGCTTATTTATTCTAATCAGACATTAATTTTTAATATTCTTTTGAAAAACAATTTCCTTCAATTTAGTAGAAAAAGTCAACATTTCGGATATCAAACTAAAACTTAAATTTGTTTCAAGATTAATAAAATATTTTAATCCATTTTGTTTGAATTTTTCAAATATTTAAATTCAAATAAAAATTATTGTGCTTTTAAAATTATAAATTTGTCCAGGTAAAATGGAAATAAAAGAAAACAAATTTATTCGAGACTAAAAATATTTACTTTTAGAATAATTAAAAGAATTAACCTCATTTGAATTGATCTCTTTCACTAACTTTTCTATAAATTGTTGATGGACTCTTCGTGATAATTATTCCCCAACTCTCTCACAGTTTGAAATTTTACAAACTTTGCAAACAATTTAAAAATACAAAAATATGATATTTGTATAATATTAATTAAAGGAAAAACAGAGGAAATAATTAATTAATTGAAAAATATGCATAAAATATATACAATGATTATTTATATATAGTCATTTTGTAAAACAGTTAATTTATTTCTGAATAAGATTTTTATTTCTAAATCAAAGTTAAATAATTTTTATTTTAATATATCCAAAAAGTCTAAGTATCTGTTATACATGAGTCTATATTAGCTAATGAATAGTTCGCAAATATCAACTTTGGTTAACACATATTTGGTGAATATTTTAAAAAATAGGGAAAGACTTAAATAAGGGGTTGAATTCAATTTTTAAAAATATTTCGCAAATGAGTAATTTAAAAAAAAAATAAGATAACTCTCTTTTAAATCAAAATAGGGATACAAATCCTAACCTCTCTTAAAAGATAGATTGATGAATTAGTGATTTAGTCTATCAATACAATCAAAACCTTTTTTCTTTTTTCTTTTTTAATTCATGGTTAAATTTGTTGTATAATACAAACTTTTACACACATATATTATTCCATTTTATTTGTTTATGAATAATATAATATTAAAATTAATATAACATTTTTTTTCTCTCACTCATTTATGTCCAATACCAGTATTGTTGAAATAAAGGAGAGCAAAATTAAAAAGTAGATAAAGAAATATCCATAATTCGATTAATCGACCTGAATTAATTTTGATTTTTAGTCTTTAAAAGTAATTTTATTAAAATTATTTTAAAAACAGTAAACAAATAAATATTTATTTTTATAAAGATTCTTACATTTAGAAATCGATATTATCACAATATACCATAATGAGAAATAATTTGTATTAACAGTATAATATCCCATAAGGAGAAGGAATTTATATTGATCTGTATAAAATTTTAGAGTAAATCATATTTAACAAGTATTTAATGTAAAAAATAATCTTTATTAGTATGAGATAATATCACAAAATATCAATAAATATTTACAAAATTTAAACCACAACTATGTTATGGATTAATCATGTTGTCTAGATATAAAAAAAATAAAAATAAAAGTATCTATAATATTATGGATTAATCATAGTCTTTATATTTATAATATTATCTTTTCTCGTGTAATCAATTATATATATAAAAAAATAAAAATAAGTTAGTTATTCAAATAATAATTATTAATTAAATTTAGTACACATTTAAAATTACAAAATTATATATGATGCATAATTCTATGTTTAAAATTAAATCTTTTTACTTTAATACATAAAAAAATTCATATTAATTATATATAGAGTGTCAAAACAGACTTAGTTTAATGAGTTAATTCGAAATATTCAAGAAATAAGTCAGACTAAGTAAAAAAATTGTAATCTAAATTAAATCAGACTTATTTTGGTCCAATCTATTTAAATTATAACTTACACGAGTTTAAGTCAGACTAACCCGATCGACTTATAAATAGATTTATTCTATAAAATAATAATTATTTTTAAAATAAAATAAAAATAATATTATTTTATTATTAGATATTATAAATTAATTTAATAAGAAAATCACTTCTTAAGAGTAAATATCATATTAAATCTCTAATCATCACTTATTTCACGATCTAATAATTAAAATTAATTATCATTTTAAATTAATAAATTACTAAAAATAAATAATAATAATAATAATAATAATAATAAATAATAAGATTTTAATTCTTATATTGAGATTGAATAGATAAATTCTTTTATAATTTATATTAAATTATTATTATATCTTAAATAAAAATTAATTTCATTAATAAAATTTAAATTTTTAAAATATATTTTTCATTTTTTTATTTAAAATTTTTAATTAATTGATTTTGTATAAAAATGTTAATATTTTAAAAAATATATAGAACAAACTTAATCCAATTTAAAATATAGGTCAAACAAAATGATTAATTTTTTTATTATTTAACCCATAAAATGAAGTCAGATTCACTGTACGGCTCAATTTGACAATTCTACCTATAGATGAATCTATATTAATTAATTATTCGTAAATATTAAAATTGGTATACACATGCAGATATAATAACTAATAACATTTTTGGAATGTCAAAATGCTCCATCGATTGTATGATCTCGCTTCAAATATTATATGAATATTTTTTAAAAGTCTTGATTCATTAATTAATATATTTTATTAAATAAATTTAAAAAATTATATCTTTTATAAGATAAATTAAAAAATTAAGATTAAAATATACAATGATAATTAACATTTTATGTTTAATTTGTATTTATAAATTAAATTATAATATATTTTAATATTATAAAATAAAAATATTTTATTTTATTTTATTTTTAATATATAAATATTTATTTAAAAACAAATTTACATGTTAGTTCGTCGCATTCTATCTTTAACTTTTTCAAGTTGACAAACTAAATAAAATAATTTAAAACTTAATGGACGAATCACAATTTAAAATATATTAACAAGTTGAACTAACTTGCTTTTTCATTCTTATATAATTATAATTATTGATTCTCATTAAAAAAAATAAGAATCTATTTTATATTTTAATTTATAATTAATATAAAAAATATAATGATTAAATATCAACATCTATATATCATCTACTGCATCTAAACTAACTTTTATTATTGATAACACCTAAATCATTTTATTTTATTTTGTACATATTTAAATTAATATAACACTTTTTTCGATTTTTTTCTTTACGCTAATTCAAGTCCAAAATTCATTTTTTTATTTACTTTTACTCATTATAAAAATTAAAACTTTTAAAATTATTTTGACTATTTGGAATTTGGCAAAACTTCTATCAGTATATCTATTTCTTTAGTTTTTTTTTTTTTTAAGTTTTTCTTTTTCTCTTTCGCGATTCTACCATCCCCTCATATTTGACTAAAGTTTTCAAATAACACAAATGCATATTGAACAGTATAATTCCTAAAAACTTTATCAAATTGTCGTCTATTTTTTAAGCATAGCTGAATTTTGCTTCTCATTTCAAACAAATATTTCTTATCCTCTACAGCAATTTGGTCTATAAATATCATTGAAACAGAACAAAAAAATAAAAAAGAAATAAAGAAATGACAAAATAACTGTGTGAAAGTTTGGATAAAGAAGAAGGAAATAATAAATAAATAAAAAAAAAGTAAAAACTTAATTATAAAACGACTAATACAATCAAAACTTTTTTTTTTATTCATGGTTCAAATACCACTACTGTTGAAACAAACAAGTGTAAAATTAAAGATTAGATAAACTTCTACACACATATAGACTCCATTTTATTTGTTTTTCTACAATTTAATATTTAAATTAATATTACATTTTAAAACAAAAATTCTCTACACTAATTTATGTCCAAATACCAATATTGTTGAAATAAACCAGAGTAAAACTAAAAAGTAGATAAAGAAAACCTTTATATCCATAATAATCACTGTATTTTCATTACATATCTAAGTGTAGGTGAAGAATGGACTGAGACCGATTAAATTTTGGTTTTTAATCTTTAAAAGTATTAAAATTATTTTTAAAAATAGTAAACAAATAAGCATTTCTTGTTATAAAAATTCTTGCAACCTTTTTAATGTTGGTAGAAATCATTGAAAAATAACTAGTGTTGACAATATATAGAGGAAGTCTATGTGTTAATAAGTATTTAATAAAAAAATAATATTTATTAATTCAATATCATTTCTTAAAATATTAATAACATATGTACAAATTTTATATTACAATTATATTTTAGATTAATCATGTGGTTCGAATATAGTCTTGGTACATGTAATATCACATTTTCTTTCATGTAATCAACATGATTATAATAGTTAAGTCATTCCCATAAAAAGATAAGGATTAGTTAATTATTCAAATAATAATTACCAATCAAACTTACCACATATTTAAAATTATATAATTATATCTCATTACATTATGCACATCATATAACATTGACTCATATAGATTATCTTTCATCTTACTCTATTCTCCAAACTCAAATACTAACATCTTATGGGTCATTTTGAAACCGATTTTCCATCAGATACTCTTTAACTACAAACACTATTCTAGCTTTCCTACCCACAAAGTAGGTCTATTAATAATACTACATATCCTAATGCACTTTTTGTGATCTCAGGGCAAACCCCATCAGCTCCTTACCTACTAATACCATAGTTTATTTCACTAGGGCTATTAGTGGTACCTGGAATCTCATTGAATCCACACGAGTATAATTGTCACACTAATACCACACAGTACCTTCCCAAGTATCCACAACCACACATATCTTAGTTGATTATGGATCACATCCTTGACTTGACTTAGTCTCACATGCACAAATATATCTCAGTCAATTATGAGTTATTATCATGGCTAGATTAATCATCATTAGATATATCCTAATCTCAACACACAACATTACCCTATTGTAGAATGTATGTGGAGAAAGTATGTGGACTAACTTTTCAACTCATTGGATGAAACTTCTTATCATTAGAAGCTTGAACAAGTCAAGAAAAAATAAAACATCTGATAAAGATAGATATTTAAACATTGTTAGCTCCACTAGCATGTGATGCATACTAGTTGCTACGAACACAAAAACATGATTGATTTGATATTCAATTTAAGAAAAGATAGAAAATGTGAGTGATAAATCATTGATTTGATCACCATAAGTTACCTTAATAAGATCGAAAATAAATTTATATAACTTAAAACACCAAAAAAGTTCTCTTCACATAAAAATAAGTTTCATTCAAAATTCATATATATATATATATATATATATATATATATATATATATATTTATAGCCTAAATTACTATAAGAATTCACTAATAATTCTCACTAATGGCTCAATTAATTTCCACTACACGTTCTTAAATATTCATCGAGCAATTAAAACTCATTATTCTTAAATTTCCACTAACAATCAATTCTCACTAATTTTATTTTTAATTTCTACTATAAGCATCATTATTTTCTATAACATGAATATGAATAATTATCTTTTCTTCACATTCCCTTAATGTTGATATTTTGGTTAACTTAATTCAAAATAAAAATTACAAATAAAAACTTAAAATTAATCCCTCTAAATAATATAAAAATAATTGACTAATAAATCTTAAACATCATAATATAAAATCCATCAGGTGATTTAGATTTTGACCGATTCACAAAACAATCCAGAAATAATTTAGGTAATATTTCAAAATTTATTATTTTACATTTAACAATTCATAATTATTTTTTTCCAAATTATAACTTTGACATAACTATTTTCTTCTTCTTTTTTCTAAGAACATTAAATAAACACAAAGTGTATTTAGTATTAAAAGTATAAGAAAAATAATTAACAAATCATAATCATATGATTATAATGTGTGTTTCGTTTTCCAATAATCACATATTCTTTTATTATTATGAAAGAATTTGTATAATGAAATAATTATTTCTTTAATTTTAAGTTGAAATAACACTAACTAAATGCACAAGGTTCAAGTAGGTGATTTATTAAGTAAGCATACATTATGACAATATATGTTTTAGGATCATTTAAAAAAATTGAAAAAAACAAGTGTTGTTGTAATAGTTCATTTGTAATTTGACCCCAAAAAAGTTTTCGACCCAAAACTTTAGAGTTCTTGGATGGTCAATGAATATCGAATGCAACCATGCAACGAGATGCACTTTCATATATTGGGCCTTTTGACATTCCAAAAGGCCCATGGCCCACAACTTAGTTTATACCTCACACGTTACAATATTAATAACTCAAATAATTTACAAACCAAAAATAATACTAAAATTTATATTTTCAAACACTTGTGACTTGATTTTTTTAATATATATATATATATATAAATATATATATATATATATATATAGTGACGGATCTTGATCATTGATCTTAGAGGGGTCAAATAATATATTATTAATAAATAATAAATAAAAATAAAATGAAGTAAGAAGATGAAATGGTGAAATATTAAATGATCATTAAGTTTGAGGGGGACAAAATCATAAATTATAAGAGAGTTACAAAACTGAGGAGGGACTGGGAGGATAAAATTGTAAATATACAAGTAAATATATTAAATGTTCATTAAGTTTGGGGGGGTCAAAATCATAAATTACATAGGAATTACAAAACTTTCGGGGGGTCACGACCCCTCTCAACTCCCAAGAAGATCCATCACTGATAATATCCTACCAAACCCGAAAAATTATGTATCCTGGTCATTGTTCTTAATGGATTTCATTGTAGAATTGTCTTTACTTTAGTTAAGTCCACCGATACTCTTTCTTGGATGAAGTCGGCTTGCAAGAGCTTACTGATTTTCGGATCTGCAACTTGCCTTCTTTCATCTCCTAACTTACGTTTTCATTGAGCTAAAAGCTTTGCTTTAGGAATAATTTATCATTTATGTGAGATTATGTTAAGGTCAATACCTGGCATATCGGTTGTGCACCATGCGAATAGGTTGACGTTTTTTAGTAAGATGTCTTAAATTTGCTTGCGAGTAGTCATCTTGGCCATGTTGGCGATGTGCGTGACTTAAGAGACATCCCTTCTTAGTTGGAAATCCGATATGTTTTCGTCGAAGGTAGGTTGTTTCCATCTGCCTCTTTTGTGGATCGAAGTCGACCATTTCTATGTTGTGCACTTGCGCATTGCTTCAACATTGTATTAAGTATGGATTGACCTTAAAGCTTTTGGAGTAGTACCTTCGAGCTTCCATTGGGTATGATCTTATTGTTATAGCCAAACTATTATCCGTTAAGGGAAATTCATCAAGCTAGTTCAACGTTCATCTTTCTATTATTAAGTTGTATGAGAGTTATAATTGTTGAGATACATGAACTGAATATCTCGACAATATCCGAATATACTAACATTATCAACGTGTTAAGACGAGATAAATTATATTTACATCAACAAAAATAACATGAAGAATAAATAAAAAAATCTTAAAGATTGATCATGAGAACTATTAAATTTGCTTAGTGACCTAAGTGGTTTTGGTTGAAAGGAGGCAAGAAGAAAATTTGAATTTGAACTTAAAGTCTAAATGACTTGACTCATATATTACATTAAAGTATATATTTTAACATTTAATTGTAATAGTGAATGATGTTGTAACAACGGTTGTGCATAGTTTCACTTTTAACAAATATTTATATATTAAAATTAAAATTAAAAAATTATAATTAAAAAATTATATATTTTTATGTTATATTATTAAAAAAATACAAGTATATTATAATATTATAATTTAAATTATAAATATTAATAAATTAAACTTAAATTATATGTTATAATTAGGTATTATATAAATATTATAATTTTTTTCAAGTTATCTAATAAAATATTAATTAATAAATAAAATAATAAAATTTATTCTTATAATAAAATATATTTTTTTAAATTTTATAAAAAACATATTAATAAATTGATTCATTTATTCATCAACCCGTTTTTTAATAAAATAGGCTAAGGTTTATAGCGTGTTTTGATTAAGATATGCTTCACCCTAATTTTTTTTAAATAAAACAAATAGGATCACTTATTATATCGTCACTATAGTAATCTGATAAAAAAAATGCATATAAATTAATATTTATCATCTAAGATTACTATAATATTTTTATTTCCAGTTTATTTAAAAATTATCTACAATTGAAATTGAAAAAAAAATATTCAAAATCTGTCAAAAGAAATGTAAATAAAATTAAAAAATTATCTGCATGCAAAATATTCATAACTAAAAGAATTAAATTTTTAGAATAATTAAAACAATTTATCTTTAATTGAATTAATTTTTTCACTAACGTTTCTATAAAATAATGATACCAGTTCACGTGATATATATTATAAAAATTTAAAATTAATGTTAATAAAGAATTAATTTAAAACTACCGTATACAAATCTATTATTCAATATTTAAAAAGGCAAGGAAACTGTATACGATTTTGTTTTCTCTCACATAATAAAAGAAAATCAAATAACTCCACCATAATTTAAAAAGAATATAATCCAACCTACTAGTTCTAATATTAATTTATATCGTATCATCAAAAACTAGATATATATTATATTTGATAACATATAATAATAAAAAATTGTGATCAGAAAAATATTTTTTAATCATATAATCTAAAAGGAAGATTATTTTTATGGAAATATAAATAGATATTATCTTTTAATTAAAATGATAAAAAAATATTAGATAGCTTTGTAATCCCTAAAAATCAATTAATTTGATCATACCTTAAAAATGAAAGTAGGGATTAAAGATATATTAAGATTTAGAGATAAAGAATCTATATATATTATGATTCACATTTATAAAGAATAAAGATAAAAAAAAAACTGTTATTAGA